TATGCTGTATAATTCAGAACGCCGTGGGTTTTTAATTGCGCCCATGTGCATGAGCCCCCATACACAATACTACTGCATTCAGAACCCTTAAAAAAGCTATATGCTGTATAAATCAGAACGCCGTGGGTTTTTTATTGCGCCCATGTGCATGAGGCCCAATACACAATACTACTGCATTCAGAACCCTTAAAAAAACGACATGCTGTATGGATCAGAACGCCGTGGGTTTTTTATTGCTCCCATGTGCATGAGCTCCAATACACAATTCTACTGCGTTCAGAACCCTAAAAAACGACATGCTGTATGGATCCGAACGGGGTGGGTTTTTTAAATTGCGCCCATGTGGCATGAGTCCCAATAAACAATACTACTGCGTTCAGAACCATAAAAAAATATATACTATATAGATCAGAACTTCGTGGGTTTTTTATTGCGCCCATGTGCATGAGCCCCAATTTACAATACTACTGCATTCAGAACCATAAAAACTATATGCTGTATGGATCAGAACGCCGTGGGTTTTTTATTGCGTCCACGTGTATGAGCTCCAATATACAATACTATTGCGTCCAGTACCATAAAAAACTACAGTATATGCTGTATGGATCAGAAGGCAACATATTTTTGTGCCCACATGCATGAGCCCTAAAATACAACACTACTGTGTTCAGATCTGTAAAAAAAAACTATATGTGGCATTGATTGAAAGGCAACATTTTGTTTTATGCCAGTGTGCATGAGTCAGATACATAAAACCTATATGCTGTACAACATAACTTTTTTTTTACGTCAATGTACACGAGCCCTCATATACAATACTGCATTCAGATTTGTGAAAAATATATATATACTCTGTACTGTTTGGAACCCAATCTTTTTTACTGCCTCTGTGCATAAGCCCTAATATACAATACTACTGTGTTCAGATCTGTTAACAGCTATATATGGTATGGATTGGAAGGCAGCATCTTTTTTATGCCTGTGTGCATGAGTCCTAAAATACAATACTACTGTGTCCAGATTCATAAAAAAACAATACTCTGTATGGATTGAAACGCTGTGTTTTTTTTTTTACAGCTGTGTGCATGAGCCCTAATATACAATACTACTGTGTCCAGATCCATAAAAAAAACTTTATGCTGTTTGAATTGGAATGCCCATTTGTATCTACAGCTATTCCTCACTTAAAGACCTACCTGTTTAGTGACCACTCGCATTTACAACCAGCTCTCCGACAGTACATGCGGGAACGTGGCAGCGGCAGTGCGGCATCTCACCGACTTCATCTTGCATACAGTACTGTACTCCGTTCTCCGCTACTATTCTCGGTAAGTACTGTACATCTCCACACTACAGTACAATACTGCACTAATACAGTACTGTACTGTATACAGTTCCTCGCATAACGACCAATTCGTTTAATGACCTAGGCGTAGGAACGGAACTTGGTCGTTAAGTGAGGAATAGCTGTACTGCATTTAGATCCCTAAAAAAAGTTAAGCTGGCCATACACCTATAGATTATCTGCAGATTTTCTATGGTCAGATGGAAAAAGCGCAACAGATTCCTCCATCTACGCTAAACTGTGTGGATGGAGGAATCTCCCACTGGGCCAAGCTTCACTATCTTGCTAGTCGGCACCGCTGGCTCTCAAAATACCTGAACAATCTGATTGGATGCAGGCATTGGTTGTTCAGGTATTTTGAGAGCCAGCGGGGCCGACTAGCAAGATACTGAAGCTTGGTCCAGTGGGAGATTCCTCCATGCACTCAGTTTAGCATAGATGGGGAAATCTGTTGCACTTTTTCCATCTGACCATAGAAAATCTGCAGATAATCTATACGTGTATGACCAGCTTTACATTGTATGGATCGAAACGCAGCATTGTTTACTTCTGTGTGCATGAGCCCTAATATACAATACTGCTGCGTCCAGATCCATAAAAAACGATATGCTGTATGGATTGGAACGCAGCATTGGTTAGACTCACGTACATGAGCCCTAATATATAATACTACTGTGTCCCGATCCATAAAAAAAACTATATGCTGTATGGATTGGAACCCAGCATTGGTGGCAACCATGTGCATGAGCCCTAATATAAAATACTGCTGCGTCCAGATCAATAAAAAACTATACACTGTATGGATCAGAATGCAGATTTTTTTAATGCCCATGTGTATGAGCCCTAATATACAATACTACTGCATTTAGATCCACAAAAAAACTTTACACTGTAAGGATCAGAACACAGCATTGTTTACACTCATTTGACACCCTAATATACAATACCACTCCATTCAGATTAAAAGTAAAATATATACTTTAATTGGATCGGAACACAGTGTTTTTTAATGCCCTTGTGCATGAGCCCTGATATATAATACTACTGCATTCAGATCTGTAAAAACTACAGTATATGTGGTATGAATTCATACAATGCTGGATCGGAACGGAGCATTGTTTACGTCTGTGTGCATGACCCCCAATATACAATACTACTGCATTCAGATTTATAAAAAACTTTACGCTATATGAGTCGGACCGCAGCTTTTTTTTATGCCTGTTTGCATGAGCCCTAATACACACTATATTGTCAAAATTTGGACACCCCTCCAAATCACTGGATTCAGGTGTTACAATCACCTCCATGGCCACAGGTGTATAAAATCAAGCTCCTAGGCATGCAGACGCTTCTACAAACATTTGTGAAAGAATGGGTCGCTCTCAGGAGCTCAGTGACTACAAGCGTGGTACCATGAGAGGTTACCACCTGTGCAATAAGTCCATCCGTGAAATTTCCTTGCTACTAAATATTCCACGGTCAACTGTTAGTGGTATTATAACAAAGTGTAAGCAACTGGGAACAACACAAACTCAGCCATGAAGTGGTAGGCCACGTAAAATGACAGACCAGCGTCAGCGCATGCTGAAGCACACAGTGCACAGAAGTCGCCAACTGTCTGCAGAGTCAATAGCTACAGACCTCCAAACTTCACATTGGCACAACAAGAGTGCATAGAGAGCTTCATGGAATGGGTTACCATGGCCAAGAAGCTGCATCCAAGCCTTGCATCACCAAGTGCAATGCAAAGCGTCGGATGCAGTAGTGTAAAGCACGCCGCCACTGGACTCTAGAGAAGTGGAGACGTGTTCTCTGGAGTGACGAATCATGCTTCTCTGTCTGCCAATCTGATGGACGTGTCTGGGTTTGGATTATGGTGTGGGTTATTTTTTCAGGGGTTGGGCTTGGCCCCTTAGTTCCAGTGAAGGGAGCTCTTAAGGCATCAGCATACCAAGACATTTTGGACAATTTCATGTTCTCAACTTTGTGGGAACAGTTTGAGGATGGCTCCTTCCTGTTCCAACATGACTTCACACCAGTGCACAAAGCAAGGTCCATAAAGACATGAATGAGCGAGTTTGGGGTGGAGGAACTTGACTGGCCTGCACAGAGTCCTGACCTCAACCCGATAGAACCCATTTGGGATGAATTAGAGCAGAGACTGCAAGCCAGGCCTTCTCTTCCAACATCAGTACCTGACCTCACAAATGCGCTTCTGGAAGAATGGTCAAACATTGCCATAGACACACACCTAAACCTTGTGGACAGCCTTCGAAAAAGAGTTGAAGCTGTTATAGCGGCAAAGGGTGGGCCAACTCAATATTGAACCCTACGGAGGAAGAGTGGAATGCCATTAAAGTTTATGTGCATGTAAAGGCAGGCATCCCAATACTTTTGGCAATACAGTGTACATTACCACTGTGTTCAGATCCATAAAAAAATAAACTTGGTACGGATTGGAATGCAGCTTTGTTTTTTGTTTTTAGTCCTAATATACAATTCTACTGCATTCAGAGTCTTAAAAAAATCTATACATTGTATGAATCTTTTTTTTTTTTAAACTATGCACTGTATGGATCAGAACACAGCTTTATTTGATACGCTTGTGTGCACAAGCCCTAATATGCAATACTACTGCGTTCAGATCCATAAAAAAACTATATGCTCTATGGACTGGAACACAGCTTTTTTTTTTTTTTTACGCTCGTGTTCACAAGCCTTAATATGCCATACTACTATGTTCCATAAAAAAAACTATGCGCGGTTAGGTTCGGAACGTGGCTTTTTTTGAAACGCCCGTGTGCACGAGCCCTAATTCGTAGCAAATCCAGCTGGCAACGTGTTGCCCTGCGCTGCAGCACACATGAGGTTAACACTCTGGCAAAGCTCTCCCTCCCACAAGCCTTCTCCTCTTGCAGACTGCAACCACTCCTCCTTCTGTTGTTTCACTGGGAAGGGAGGGGGTGGAGGAGAGAGAGCAGGCAGAGGAGCTGAAGGTTCACGCAAATCACATGTCCCCAGCAGCAGCAGCTGCTTGCTGCTCGATTGTATGTTTGGAGTAGTACCAGGGGGAAATTTGTTCTGTTTCAGAAGCACCAAGGCACTCTATTTTAATAGCCACTTTTTGTGCATTTTCAAAGCTTTTTTTCTTTTTTTTTTCTTTTTTCCTATTCAGAAACCTTCCCTGGCTCCAAAAGCAGGAGAAAGAAGAGAATCCAGTCCAGGTTTTCCATGTGCACTTTAATCAGAAAGAAGTGGATAATGGTTGCTAGAGCCTCTCTCAAGCCATGCTGGGCCGGATAGATTCAGCCAGTTTTGTATGTACCTATATCCGGGTTAGCAAGGAAAGGAGACACACACACATACAGGACCTAAAAAGTTTAATTTTTTTTGCTCTTCAACAAAAGCTTCAGCATGAAGTCCCACAGCAAGGACAGGCACAGACCATAAGGATCAACAAGGCTTTTTCATTCTTTCATTTCCTGTTGTTTATTTTTAACTCCTTTTCTTCGTTTTGTTTTTATTATGATACATTTTTGTTTATTCACCTGAAGTGATCGGAGGTTTGTTTACTTCTACCGGACTTATCGTTGTTCTTTATTGGACATTTTCTTGGAATTTGCTGCTATTGTTTTCTTCTGCTGTGATTTTTTTTTTCTGGGGGGGATTTTACTATTGCACATTTTGGGGGCCCTGTTTTGTGGTTACCGGGATTGACTGAGATGTTGCAATGATCATGGCAGCGCAAGTGGTTTCAGCTGCTGCGCCGACCACCAATGCGAACAATAAAGGTAAAAACCAGGGTCTTCCTGGACTGAATCAGGACTTAAACTCTGGGGGGACAGGACCAGGTTCAGGATCTATCCCTGGATTAGGAGATGGGACTCCAAACAGCGGAATGAACAATAATGTGGATCACCTCCACCACCACAACCTTTTGCACCACCATCACCACCACCATCTCCTTCACCATCATCACCACCATGAAGTAAACATGGCAAATGCAAATTCATTATCATCCTCATCTCTCTTATCCTCCACCACTAATAATACAAACAATAACAATAGCAGCAATTCAGACACAGGACTGAAGGATGGGAGAAATCCGGCAGTCTCACCCCATTTCCAGGCTATGGAGATGGGTGGTGGGATCCCCAACCACAAGTTAAAGTGTGGTAGTGTTGGGGACTATCTTGCTCATTCTCATCACCATGGCCATCACAGCCAGCAGCATACACCCCACCATGCACCCCAGCATCTGCAGCAGCAACCTCCCCACCACCCCAACCATCCACCCCAGCAACTTAATCAGCTGCAGCCCCAGCAGCAACTAGCAGGGGCAGCACAACAACCAACACCGAATAAAAGCAGCCCTGGAGGAGGAAGCAATAGCAGCAGTGAGGCGTCAGATATGGAAAATCAGCAGCAGCAACAACAACATGCTGGTGTGGGAGAAGAGGGCTGTAATAATGCTGGTGCAGGGGAAAAAGATGTTGCTTTGGTTAATCAGGGCGACCCCCAGTCTAGGAGGACTGGCATGGCAGGAGAAGAAGACGATCTGCAGGGAAAAATGATGGCTGGGGAGCCCATGAGCAGTCGGTATGAGCATGCAGTGCTGGGAGGAGGGCAGCAGCAAGGAAACAACAGCAGCAGCAGCAATAATAATAATAATATTAGTGGCAACGGTGGATCATCTTCTTCTTCATCCTCTTCTTCCTCCTCGTCTGAATTTAATAATTATTATGGCAGTGCATCAACAAACAGAGTAGGGCCTTGCTTTGATCAACATGGCAGACAACAAAGCACTGGTATGGGGATGATGCATTCTGGATCTACGGCCCCCAGCAGCAACATAGACCCCATGCAGAACTCCCATGAAGGGTATGGCAGCAATCAGTATGACCACTACCAGGGATACAGCAGGGCCGCTGCTGCTGCAGGAGGAGGGGCGGGAAGCTATGGCAGCTCTACCTCTGCATATGGGGTGCTGAGCTCCCCAAGGCAGGCTAGCACTAGTACCCCAGGCAGCAGCAACATGATGATAGGTGAAAGAGGTGGCAGTCATAGTAAGCCACCTAGTGCTTCCAACGCAGGGGGCTTCCAAAGGTACCAGGGACAAAACCAGCACCCATCAGGTGCCACCCCTACTCTGAACCAACTCCTAACATCCCCTAGCCCTATGATGCGGAGTTATGGAGGAAGCTATCCTGAATACAGCACTCCTAGTGCACCCCAGCAACCGTCAAGCAATGCACATGGGAGTCAACAGCCCGGGGGCATGGGAATGGGCAAAGACATGGGGTCCCAGTATGGAGCTACCACCACAGGCTGGGGAGCACAACAAAGAAATCATCCAGCTATGAGCCCTGGAAGCACTGGACAAACCATCAGCAGATCCCAGGTAAAATACAATTTTGTATCAATAGATCACTTTTTACATGCTTGCATTTGATATTTGTATCAGGAGTATGAATATGCATTTTTTTCCCCCACAAGTCTCTAGCTTTGTGGCTGCATGTCCCATGTACTTTTTATTTCCATATAAAGCATTGAAGCGTTTTGAGAGCTTGCTGGGGAGGTTTTGCAGTTCTATGAGACTAGATTTTCTAGATCAACATACAAAAATTAAACCACAGGCCCAGATTGTACATGGTATTTGTGACAGAGTCCACACATACATGTGAGCCGGGTATTTGGTTCCATGTAGTATGGAAACAGTGTTGTTTTATTCCTTGCTGTATTTTGCCAACCCTTGTTTATTGTGCTTTATGAATCTTTAACGCACAATAATACGTATGCATAATATGTTTTGTTCAATCTAGAACATCTATTGAACCTAACTCCATCTATTACAAATGTGAACCACAACCTATGTATGTATCTGCTAGATTTATGAACCGTGTCCTTAGAGTGTTACACCTTCGCCCCCCCCCCCCCCCTTTTTTTTTTTTTTTTTTTACCTGAAATTTAAATAACCGACCAGTTTACACAAATGTCGACACAGACATTTAAATGAAAATATAATTTGTCTTAATTCATCCCTAAAAAAGCTGTAGCTGTAGCAATTTATTTATTTCATGTTGGAGGCTCAGAGAATGGCTGCCCTTCATTGTGCATAATATGGTTGCTGTGTTGTGCTGTCTTTTGTCTTCTTGTTTAAATGTGAATATACTTATTAGACATTTGAATCAAGTAAACAGCCTCCTTTTGCATTGTGTAATGATCTTTTAATGGCTTTTGTTCAGGTTTTATTGGGTTCGTAGTTGCAATGAGGTCTAAACTGCAATGGATCACTCCTAGGCTTCTTGCTAGCAGCTTGAGTCTAAAGAGTGACTTGATCTCCTTTGCAAGGTTTGGAATTTGAATTGTGGAGGTAAACTGGCTGTAATAGTCTCCAGACAGCTGCCTCTGAGTTGACATCTAATCTGCCATCTGATTGGCTCCCCTCTCACCATTGGGCATTTAGCACTGCTGATGTAAATAGAATTGCTGAACAGTACAGTCACAAATATTCTCTGGCACAAATAATAGCCAGGCAGCAACATCTATTTACACAGTTGCTGGCTTCCCATATTATTATATACGTTTCTTTTTTTTTCTTTTTCAATTAAAAGATTACCGAGCACATTTGTACACCTTGGAGCACAAGCAAATGCGGCTTGTATCTGTACAATAGTGCCCGTGGGAATCGATTGCTTAGCCGCATCAGCAGATTTTCTTTTCATTTACTAAATCGGGACAAATGTCGCTAATTATTTTGGTATCATTTTTAGAAACTGATTGCTCGCAGTGCTTTTTGCTCGTCTGATACATGAAATACTACATAGGGTGGGGTTTTCTTAGAAAAAAGGCCTTGATTCCTCTTGTTTAATACAATGCTTTATACCCATTCACTCTAATTAACAGGGTTTATATGGCTCATGTTCTATATGTGTTCTACCATATGTGGGATGAAAATAAATCAGAAAACAAGAACAGAGATGGCTTTAAGTCAATGTGTTTCCTTTTATTTTTTTTTGCATATTTTTTTTCTATGGTAATAGGTTACTCCTGTTTAATTTGTATTATATAATAATTTACATATTGTGCTTTGATGCCACAATGTATACCTATGTGCAAATGTGTATTGGCCTGACCTTCTAATTTTTAAATGCTGTTTTAAAGAAACATTTGGCAGTGTTGTATTTCATTTCCAACACTTTTATTGGTGCTTGGACATTTTATTTTGCTTTATGGCTTTTATATGGAACTTAAGTCAATGGGTATGTTTGGAGCTTTCCTATAATCATTATTTTCTAGTGTAGGAAAATGTAATTTAGTTTTGTTTAGTGAAAAGCTGTGTGTTTTGTGCCATTTATTACATATACGTTGTCCATGTGACAGTTTATATTTCACATTGGGCTTATAAGCTTTCCCTAGTTCACCATATTCTATGAAATTGGTGTGGTGATGGGACAGATTTTAACATTAAAATGCTGAGTTATTGTAGATGACATATCGGTTGTTAATTTTCATGTTGTGCAAAACAATTGGGAATATTGTTGTATGATATTTAGTGCCACGTTATACAAGAACCAGCCATTTCAAGTAAAGTGTTTTAGTTTGGGCTAAATAAATGTGGTACAAGCCATTTTTCCTATAATGTACATTATAGATTAGCGTCCTGTGATGTCTTATCCACCATCAGCGTGTTATATGAAATGTTCAGTCCAATGAGACATTATAAGTCACATCGAAGATATAAACATCGAGCAGTGCTGCACACTGTATGAACCCACACGGCGGCTCATGCATTGCAATTCCCACAGCCCTCCCCTCCCTTTAATAAAAATTACTATGATCCTCATTCAGTACTTTCAGACAATAGTTGGCTAGGGTCGTGAGAGGTTGTGAATAGACAGCTGCATGGACCCAAGTTGGGAACCAGGCCTAGTGGTGGTGCCTACATGTTTAAATTTTATACTGCAGTACCATTTCAGGTCTGTCAGCCATTTTACATTAAGGGAACGAGATCAGTGTAGCTAATTTTAAATAATTATCTGAGGGTACAGTCTTCTTTTCCGAATAACCCCTAACTCTCTGAATTTTACTGTCCTGTTTAGGACATCCGGGATACAAGTGTGCAAAATGATATGTCTAGAGCAGCTAAGGCCTTGTTGTTTTCTTGATTCTCTGGCAAAACTGGTCTGCGCCATTAAATAGTAATATTATCTGTTTTGACAGCTAACGGGTTACACATATCACTTGTTTTTTGTGATCGCTCTAATCTGTATTTTCAAATTACTATTTGGTACAATAGGTGCCAGTCTGTAATTTTTTTTTTTAATGTGGTTGTATTTTATCTGATTAAGAAAGAATGTGTCGTCATTCTCTGCAAACTGTATGTGTTTTATCTGCCTTGTGTTGCTAAGAATGTATTTTGTGCATAGACATGGCAATAGGTGTTAGCTGAACAAAATAAGTACTCTCGTTTGACCTAAAATATGTGCTGCAAAATAATAGATTTTGAATGATGTATTTTTTTAATAGTAAAATATTTAACTATTTTGCTGCTGAGCTAAAAGACAAAACTTGCATGTAACCTTCAGATCGATTCGTCCTTGCATACAGGTTTTCAAAACTGGTGCCTTGTCAATAAAGTGCATCAGCGGCCTTTTGTCTGCTACGTATACGAGGGTTGGACAGTGACGTTACATTTGGGTTTTTTTCTGTTTTGTGTTCTTCCGTTGTCCAAGGGGTTATCTTTTATAACCTGTTTTATTTTGGTTTTCTCTGCAAATGCTGTTATTAAACGCAATCTGTGTGTTTTAATAGATGGAAAATCAAATGAAAGTGTTCAGAGCTGTGACTCATGATACAAGCAGCATGCCTGTGGTTATAATGCTTTTTCTTTTTTTGCCTTTATATGTACATTGTGCTAGTCTGTTACTTTCTAAATACAGTACATTTCATCTAGTCATTTACTTGTTTATTATGGCTTCTAAACTCATTTGTGGCATTCTTTTTCACAGTCCCTTTTTTGTGTAATTTTTTTTCTCTATTTTTCAATATTTAATACTTTTTGAGATTCATTTACTTCCTTTTCTTTCTTTTCTGTATTTTATAGACAGCTGTGTGATTGTTGAATTATCCTACGTTTTGCCAATGTTTCCTATAAATATATATTCTTTTATAGGTGCTGCTATGTATATATTTTTTTCCTTATGTTTTTTCCAGGTATTCAGGCTTGTTCTCTGTTTTGTCATCTCTCAGTTGCTATATGTTTTTGTCTATTGGACTTTTGCCTGTGTCACCTGCTTTTTTTTAAAGTCTTTCTCCTTCTAGAATATGCACTTATGTTATTTTTATGAATTTCATTGTATTTTATATAAATGGCCTGTAATTTTATGAGTACTCATTTTAAACCATTGCCCTATGGTGTTCTTAAGCCTAAATGCAGCAATTTGCCTGTTTCTATATCTCCAACTTTAGTCATATTTTTTATCTTTTTCTCTTGCATTAATTTTTTAAACCTATAAACTGCAGCAACCATACTGCACGGTGTGTCTAGTATAATCTAAAGGGTCAGTTCTAGCTTGGCTGTATTTCTTTTAAAATAATGATTTAAGTTGTACATTTTAAAATACACCCAGAAAATATTTTTTTGTTATGTATGTTATCATTTAAATGCTAGTGCTAATATATTGGAATTAAAAAAAAAAAATTCTTAGCTAGGCCTTTAAGTATCTAAGCACTGTGTAGTTGTCTATATCAGCTTAATTGATCCTGCTTTTCTAAAAAAAAATATCTAGTAGTTGTTTGAATCTTTTGGATTGTATTTGTCTGTTGTGGGTTTTTACAGTTCAATAGGTGTGTATTATTATTATTATTATTGTAGATATTAAATATGTGTGAATGTAAGCCAAATATTGTGCTTCAACATTCAATGCAGTTTATTCCCGTGATGTATCCTTATGTCCTAGCACTTGTGATACAAGCCTCGCACCTGCTTTTTATATAGGGAGAGCGGAATAGGGTAGAGCAGCTGATGGTGTGGGGATGGGAGAATATTCACATAGTCTTGGGGAGTTATAGAACAACTGCAGGCAACGTTAGACTGCTTTAAAAAAAATTATTGGTAGTGTTGATTTTATAAAGCTCCAGCACCTTTTTCAAATGTGTACAATGTGAAAACGTGGGTGTCATAACCTACACTTACAAATGAAACAATAGTCAAAAAATCAGTAGTCTATGGGGATTTTGCGGCATTTTTATAAAGCAGTATCATTGCAGGTGAATCTTCCTAGTGCATGTGTTTTAAATTACAGGGAGTAATTAACCACATGTGAATGCCTGGTACATGCCACATTCACTGTTTTGTAAAGATACCTCTCTGCCATGGGTGGGCACAAACATGGCCAA